TCCGTCCGTCTGTCCGTATGTATGAACGCGTCGATTTCAGAAGATATTTTTTTTTTAGACTTCAAATTTGGCATGCATACTCGTGTATACCATAGGCAGTACATTTTTTTTTTATTCGATAACTCATCCGATAACTTTTTTATCAAGAATAATTGAAAATTTTTTTTTGTTTTTTTCAGCTTAATTTGAACACTTTTAGACTTGGAGATTTAAAATTTTTTTTTTTTGGATACCATGCCCTCTTCGCCCCAATTTAAAAAACGTATTTCAATTTTTTTTTACTAGAGCTTTGGAATGTACAGCCATATTAACCATATGATCACCCCCTAAAAGTTTCATTAAGATTGTCCATCTGCTTAAGAAATTATTCCACAAGTAAATTCTTTTTTTTTCAAACAGCATACATACAGTCGAGCAGTCTCGACTAGAGCCTTTTTACTTTTTTTTTTTTTTTTTTTTTTTTTTTTAATTTATTTGCCCATATATTAAACTGCTGCCATTTGCGCTATGCAGCTCGTAGTTTTTATTTACACAGCGTTTTACGATCATGTTTATTTCATATTTATGTTCGCATTTTGCCATAAAACGCTTTCACGCATGCCTTCTTATCGGAGCTCGCTTCGAGTCGAGGCATGGAAACAGCGAAGTTGACTCACATGAAAACTCCTTTACAACCCGCAGGTATATGTGCCAAATAAACACGGATCCGATGAAGAGTCAAGTCGGCTATTTGGATGTTGTCGGTGAGTAAACAAAATGCCTTAGAGGCGTATAATTTACAGTTAGTTGAGTAGCTGAACGGCCAGTTCGTACTCTACTTTCAGTAAGAAGCAAACCACAACAACAACAACGCTCACTCACCCAGCACAATTACACGTACATTAACTTTTTGGGGCGGGTGTGAGGCAGAATTGAATTGTTATTTGTCTGGGCGTTCAGTCGATCAATTGACGCCCACGACTTGTGATAGGTTTTTTATTTTTTTTAATTTTTTTTTTTTAGTTGTTTTGTTTTTGCTCCACAAATTGCGCTAATTGCTCAGCCAAGTGGCGAGTGGAGTCGTTTAGGTGTTCCAATCGAGAGTCGGCAAAGTTGTGCACAACTTTCAACAACCTCACGATTGAGTCTAATTGCTGCGCTTCAAAGGGGCGAACGCTTTGCAAACTATTGGCTAATTGAGTTAGCCGGCTCTTTAAGCCGAGCACAAGGGCGTTTTTTAAAGCGGCCTTACTTTTCACTTAGCCACCACATTAGTTAGACGCCGTCCCTTCGTCTCCTGTGCGCCCGATTGAGACAATGAACACTCGGAAGGCACCTGACCCAGGCCAAAGTGAAAGGTAATGAAACAATTTACATGCTACGTGCTTCCTCGCTCTCTCTCTCTATATTAATGCTTACATATATACATATATATGTGTATGTTCATTTCCATGTCCGTTTCTATGTCCATGTCCGTGTCTGTGTCTGTGTCCGTGTCCGTGTCCATGTCTGTCCATGTGCCCACGTTAATTATTCAGCTGGCGTACAAAAACCTCAGAGGAGACAAGCTCAGCGTCGGATCCCAGACAGATTTTAAATGAATATGCCGCCCCCAAGGCATGGTTAGGTCTCTGGTTGGGTCTCTCTGGCTTGCTTTGCTTGCCGTTTCGTGCCGGGGCTCGCCCCACTCATTTTCAGCCCTTTTTTTGCGGCATTTTACTACGGTCGTAAGTAACCACTTTGGTTGATTGTGTTTTCATTGATGTCGAAACACATTATGTGCTGCCTACACAGCGCGAAATTTGTCAGTTCACATAGCAACAGTTACAAACTGTGTCAGCATTTTGCCAGTTTGCTTTTTAGATTTTTTTTTTTTGTCGTTTTTGTTCAGTGCCACAACCGCTTCACACCCAAATGAGCAAAAGTTGGTAAGCAAAACGAGTGGGGCAGCGGCTTTAAAGCAATTCAGCGCTGCCACAGAGAAAAGTGCGCAACTTTATGTAGCGTACTGTTCAGCGCTCTACTGAGCTCTCACAGAACTCAATTGGGGAATTGAACTATGAAGTGCAGATATTGCGGCACGTAATAATAGCTTAATTATTGACGTATTTATAAATTTTACAAATATTTCTAAGCGCATTGTATTGCTGAAAGGGGCTAGTATTTTAAGCATTTATTTGATTAAGTTTGAGCCCTATTTTACACATATATTAGATAAATACATACAAATAAGAACAAAAAATAAAATAATTTAAAGAAAATATA